CAGGAATGCATCTGTGGCCGCATGCTGCATCTCCGTTGAGGATTTCATAGGCTGCAACAGTCCTTGGTACAACGGTGCATTTGCGACCTGAATATGCAGAACGCGGCTGCATCTCATGTAGCAAGCTGCATATCGAGCAAGTGGGGTTCTAATACAGATCTGTCCACGGCAGTGGCAGTATATTTGGTCCTGTCTTCGAATTGAAAGACGCGCATTGGATTTAGGATAGTTGCCAAGCGCCGATAAGCTTGATGGAGGATGTCGACAAAGTGAAGCATATTTTTCATGCATAATTTTGTAGTTGGATCCTCGATACAATTGTACAGGTCGTCAGGGAATTAGTGTTTGTCAGGTCGGCTCTCCAATTACTCGGTAGGCCGCGAAGTGACGTCTCCCCTTGCCGATATCTCCAAGAAACTTCACGATGGCTGCATTTTTCCCCATGATTTTCTCGTCCCTAGAAAACACGGCATGATGGTGCTGATGGGAAAGGGAACGAGTGAGAGGCTTCGCTAGGCAGTAGGGGCGTACCTAGAGTGCACATGGTTTGCCCATACTTCGTACACACTTTTAGAAAACCAGCGCTACAATTTACCTCATTTCGGTATCGAAGGACCGCCTGAGGTGGAAGGATTGATTGACTATCCAAGTTGGTACTCACGGAGGAATCTCCCCAGAATTTGCAACGCCTGGGTGGGCGGTGTTAGATATCGACGTGTCCCAGGACCGCTGGGCTGGGGACAGACTCAGTTCTGGGATGGCGTACCCAGAACACGCAGAGCCCCAGACTTTCTTCGCTCCCAAGAATCGTGTCTAACGGCATCAGCTGACTAACTGACTACACCATACATTGTCTCAGCCTTCCTTAAGAAGCAATGTAAGGAGTTTTATATGAACTGGCCCTCTTCACCCCACTTCACCTATTCACGCTGTTCCTCGAGCAGGTTGAGTTGAAGGTGAGAGGGACAGTAAGCTGCACGTGCGCTGGGGAGCAGTTTTTAAGCACTTGGCGAGTTGCCAAGAAAGTTCGACCCGAAATGGACTAGCCACGATATTCGAGCCTGATTGGTTAGTTGACCGACTCGATAAGGGGCGTTGTCTCGACCACATCCTCGTTTTCTCCGTCTCAACAACTGGCCAACGCCTACACCCTACCCACTGTGTGGTCTCGCTGCCATATCTCCGAAGCGCTTGATGTCTTGAGATGGGCTAACAGACACTGAATGGCCCAGCAGACGAAGGTCGCGGCTGGTATATCCATCCGCACCTCATTCAACCCGAGTGACCAGGGGCCTCAGCCCCATGGGATCTAGACTTGAGGTCGGTTATCTGACATGGTATTCCGCGGAGACGATGCAGTGTTATAGGTAAATTCCAGAGAGGAGTACCAGGCTCTTATCAAGCCCCCATGCGAGCTACAAGGAAGACAATGCGTTGAAGGCGCTAGATATGCGAGCAAAGCTGGTCTGATAAGCAGGATCCACCAGGTTGGTCCAATGCACGGATGCCTCAGATAAGCCTTGTCCAACCACAGTTTCACGTCCTCTGCATCGGACCTCAAGTCAAGAGACGAAATGCTAATCTTGCCTGAAGTCTCGACAGATCACAACTTCGTCTGTATTATTGGACGTTCAGGCACCACAAGGATATTGGCTCAGGATCGGAATCACATCTATTCTGTGCCAACTGAACTCGCCTGCTCTGCAAGCGACTCGAACGACGCAGCAGGATCTGCGAATGCCAACTTATCGCGCTCGTCCATCGACCCTGGCACTTGGATCGACAATCTATTCCAACTCTAGGATCTTGACAGGCTCTGTGACCACATCGATGGACAGGAATTGAAAGGGCCTACAATGCTTAGCAGGGCTGAAGTAGCCTTTATCAAAATCACAAAGTTGTGGGGCCTATAAGCTCTCCGTGATTTGGGGGGAGGAATCCCCTCGTGATGAACATAGAAGGCCTTCCGGGACGACTTGACAAGGTGGTTGATTGTGTGTACGTTCAACTATTTGAGGAATATAGACACCGCCTCGGAACTCGTCATTGATCAACTGGAGCCAGTTCTAACGAGAAGAGACCCATTTAATTCCGTTATCAGCAAGGCTCTGGCCTGATTCAGAGGTGGCTTGTCTGTTGGAGGACGCTGATTTGTCCATAGCAACTCAATCTCTGCGAGAGATCTGCCGCGGATATACTCTTTCAGAGAAAGTGTGGTCTCGAAGGACAGCTTCACCTTGTCCCCGGAGAAGCACAACAAGTCGTCACGTCGAGTTTGCAAGAACACGAGGGACTCCCATTTTACCAAGCCTTTTCCAGAAGTTATATGTACCCTCAGATATCTCCTTCAGACGTCTCCCTCAGACATCAAGCTCACGCATCCAGCATCTCTCCTGGAAGAAACGTGGTCGAGACGACTCAATAACAACAGCACCAAGAGGATACCGTATCATCATCTGGCACGATGGCTATTGACTTCCGCTTACCCTTTCGGGCCCCTGAGGTCAATCCTATTACCTACAAGGCTCGCGCCATTCCATTCTTGAACCCTATCAACATGTACGGAAGAGTATTTTTCTTCTCGTGGTTTGGTTTCTTCGTGGCCTTTTGGTCATGGTATGCATTCCCTCCTTTGGTAAGCAACTCCCGAGTACGACATACGTGTTAGAGACGACTAACAGGAGATAGTTACATGACACCATCCAGAAAGACCTCAAATTGACCAAAGTCGACGTTGCCAATTCCAACATCATCGCCCTGTGTGCAACTTTGCTAGTCCGACTGATTGCAGGCCCATGCTGCGATCGTTTCGGATCTCGCTGGACATTCACTGGTTGCCTGGTTGTGGGTGCCATTCCCACATTCTTGGCTGGGGCTGCATACACCAAGAGTCAGCTCTTCGCTGTTCGCTTCTTTGTTGGCATCCTTGGTGGCAGCTTCGTCCCGTGCCAAGTATGGAGTACTGGCTTCTGTGAGTACCCCCTTTTGAAGACACCCCTGTTTCTTTTTCAAAGAGTCATTGGTTTTACTCTGTTACAAATACCAATACGGGCTAACACATTTTGCAGTTGACAAGAATGTAGTTGGAACCGCTAATGCCTTCACGGCTGGCTTTGGCAATGCGGGTGGTGGTGTGACCTATTTCTTGATGCCCTCCATCTATGACTCTCTCCTGGGCGATGGCTTGACTCCTCATACCGCCTGGCGTGTGGCCTTTGTTGTACCTGGCATCGTTATCTTGGCCGTTGCTGTGGGCCTGCTTGTGCTTTGCCAGGATACACCCATGGGCAAGTGGAGCGATCGCCATCGGGCCGCAGAGTCTCACCTTGCGGCCCACGGTGTTCAAGCTACCCTTGTCGATAGACCCAGGGTCAGCATTGCGGACAAGCCTCCTTCGGTGTCTTCAGGCTTAGGCAGTCCACCCGCCGGCGAGAAGATGCAATACGATGCCACTGCCGACCGCAAAATGTCCGTCTACGCTGACCACGAGGCTCAAATGACCGAACAACAAATGCTAGACACGGCTCGCGGCGAAATCGTTGTGCAACCTACGCCTATGGAAGTCGTCAAAGCCATGTTCGCACCTCAGACCCTCGTCCTCGCCTTCTGCTACTTCTGCTCTTTCGGCGCCGAACTCGCAATCAACTCTATCCTCGGGACATATTACCAGAAGAACTTCAAGCAGCTGGGCCAGACCACCTCCGGGCGATGGGCCGCCATGTTCGGCCTGCTTAACGTGGTCTATCGCCCTGCTGGAGGCATTTTCGCGGACCTGCTCTTTAAGCGCTTTCCTACCGTCTGGGTAAAGAAGGTCTGGATCCACACTCTAGGCCTCGTCACCGGTATCTTTCTCATTGTCATCGGCATTCTCGACCCCCATGACACCAGCACGATGTTCGGCCTCATCGCCGGCATGGCTTTCTTCTTGGAGGCAGGCAATGGTGCCAATTTCGCGCTGGTCCCTCACGTCAGTCCGCATGCAAACGGGGTGGTCTCTGGGATGACTGGCGCCATGGGGAATTTCGGTGGTATCATCTTCGCCATCGTCTTCCGCTATCTAAAGACCGACTATGGAAAGTCGTTCTGGATCATTGGCGTCATCACCATCGCCATCAATGTGGCGGTTTGCTGGATCCCACCGGTCTCGAAGAAGCAGATCGGCGGTCGCTAAAGCAGTCATTCAAATTACACTCGAGATGGATTCCGGTCATGGAGGCGCTGTCGGCCCTGGACCTCTCATACACTAGAGAGATACGAGGCAAAAGAAATGTCTGATTATTACTCAGTTCTTCTGCAGAAAAGGCAACGAATCAATAACACATACAAGCCGCTAACAAGGTCATGTGGTTGGATAATTATACCGATTCCTCTTCTACAGAGGCGGTCTCACCAGACCGGCCGCTAGCCGCTCTTCTTGTGCGCAATCCATCTCTCTTATATAATGACATAGACCTTACTGTGAAGAGCCAAGTTGATCCTCTAACGGATCGCCAAATGCCCGGATTCCGAACACTGACTTGGCGACTCCGATGGTCTCAGCCTGAGACATGTTGCCTAGGCATGTGCTGTCGTCACGACTTTTGTCTCCCCTTGATCCATCCATCCAGTCAACGCAATCAGAGGCCGGTTGCCGTGCAAACCGGAGCAGCGTTGACAACGTACAGAAGATGTTGTGAGCCACGCTTCGTGGGTCAGAAGGTGTCGCATTGGGCTCTCTGTCGGCAGCGGCTTCTCTGACTGGCTACTGATATGGAAGACAAGTGGATGGTTCCGTCATATATCTCGAATTCGAAGCAAGTGACGATGATTTCATGGACCAGGACTGAATAAATTATGCCCTCTTAGACCTGGGTTACTGTGCGTTTACAATGCCTCTAACTTTGAGTGCAAGGTGGTTCCCTACAACATCCCTAACCTCGGAAACTATTTTTTTTTTAGTAGGGTGTCTTTCCACACGTCAATTTCAGACTCGACGTGTTGGTGCAATAGCACGTCTCAAGATGGCCGAAGCACTGGATCCAAGAGAAGTCAACTCCCAGATCGATTCCTCGGTCGCAAAACAGTATGACCGACAAACTCCCAAAGAAGGCCAGTGGAAAGACCGCTACGAACTCATCGACGGAAAAAAGATGAGCATGCTGAGCACATACCGTCAGGGGGTTGGACCTGTTGGCCGCTCGATGGCTGTTGCAAAGCGCTCCGGACCGGACATTTTGTACCTGGCGAACAGGCACTCGAAGAAATTCCAAGATCTCGACAAGAACAAGGAGGTCCAGATCATCTTCCAAGACAGCAAGACTCAGGACTGGATTTCCATCAGTGGCGCCGCGACGACGGCCAGCAGTGACGATCCTAGGGTCAAAGAGCTGTATACCTCGGGAGTCAGTGCTTGGTTCGGCGATTTGAAGGACGGTGTCCACGACGGGACATGGAAAGATCCCCAGATGAGCCTAATCGAGGTTCACAGCAAGTATATCGTGTATTGGAAGGAGACGTCGAGCCTTGGTTTCCAGAAGGAGGTCGGAACCGCCGCCCTTACTGGTGGTGTGGCTCAAACTTGGGTGCTTCGAGAGTTCACAGAGGAAGACATCATGCAAGAGCGTGAGTGAAAACTTCAGTGCATATTGATGGAGCTTGACCAAATTGATCACTTTTCGGCAGTGGGGGATCAACCTCTATTCAGCCGGTTGTTGAGTTGACATAAGGGGGATTTGTGAGACGAGGGAAATGACGATGCGCCATGGCTCATAAAAATATTGAACGTCTTATTGGCCCACGTGCTCAAGAGGCTGGCGTAGGATACCTGGTAGACAAGAATGGAGACAGGGCAGCACAGGGCCTGGAACAATCTTCAGCCCTTCACCGCCCTTGGAAGTGGTCAGGGGTCACCGAGGGAGTGGAAGGGAAGGGGATGTGGAATGAGTGAATGAGTGACTCGGCCAGAAGCAGCTTAGTGGCTTGGCACAGATATAGTTGCGACGCCCTGGCGGTGAAAAGCAAAGTGACCCCGTGGCCTCAGTTGCCTCAAGTACAATTCATTCAGCCTTTCAAACACCGGCCACCAGCCTCAGTTGTTGTCTTTCTGCTTTATTGAGAGACATCTGGTCACTTGACTCGTTCTTCACAATATCATTTTCTCTCTGGTCTATCTCGTTTTGCTCACATCAACGAGTCGAAGATGTTGAGAGTTCCATCTCGCCAAAAGGCCACGGGCCCCCAGGCTGTTACCAAGGCCGTCATTTTGGTGAGCCCAGCGAATCAAGATCGACAGAGGACTCAGCTGAACGTGAGCAGGTCGGAGGTCCTTCTCGAGGCACACGGTTCCGGCCATTGAGTCTCGATGTCCCAAAGGTAGGTCATTGTTCGATCCCGGCCCGGTTGTCACTTACGAACCCACATCTAGCCTCTCTTCGATGTTGCCGGCCACCCCATCATCTGGCACTGCCTGAAGGCGGTCTCCAAAGTACCAGACATCAAGGAGGTTATCCTCATTGGCTACTACGAAGAAAATGTCTTCCGTGACTTCATCAAAGACTCCTCGCGAGAGTTCCCTCAGTTCAAGATCCAGTACCTGCGCGAGTACCAGGCCCTCGGCACTGCTGGCGGTCTCTATCACTTCCGTGATGCCATCCTGAAGGGCAGACCCGACAGATTCTTCGTGCTGAACTCGGATGTCTGCTGCTCCTTCCCCCTCGAGGCCATGTTGAAGCTGTTCGAGGAGAAAGACGCCGAGGCGGTCATTCTTGGCACTCGCATCAGCAACGATGCCGCTACCAACTTTGGTTGCATTGTGTCCGATTCCCACACGAAACGCGTCCTTCACTACGTCGAAAAGCCAGAGAGCCACATCTCCAACTTGATCAACTGTGGTGTCTATCTCTTCGCCACCGATGCCATCTTCCCTTCCATCAAGAGTGCCATCAAGCGGAAGACCGAGCGCCCCCGAATGATCTCCTACCCTTCATCAGAGAACCTCGATTCGTCTTTCATGGCCGACCCCGAGGAAGATGGAGAAAGGAACGAGGTCATGCGCCTCGAGCAGGACATCCTACCTGATCTGGCTGACAGCAACCGCTTTTTCGTCCATGAAACCAAGGACTTCTGGCGTCAGATCAAGACAGCTGGTTCCGCAGTTCCGGCCAACGCCTTGTACCTGCAGAAAGCTTTCCAGTCGCAGTCAGAAGAGATTACTCCTCCGTCTGCGAGCATCGTCCCCCCTGTCTTCATTCACCCTACGGCCCAAGTCGACCCCACAGCCAAGTTAGGGCCAAATGTCTCGATTGGTCCCAAGGCCATCATTGGGGCAGGCGCACGTGTCAAAGACGCCATTGTTCTCGATGAGGCCGAGATTAAGCACGATGCCTGCGTTCTCTATGCAATCATCGGCTGGAATAGCCGTGTGGGAGCCTGGGCCAGGGTGGAAGGCACTCCCACGCCTGTCAGCAACCACAATACCACCATCATCAAGAACGGCGTTAAGGTCCAAAGTATTACTATTCTCGGCAAGGAATGTGGTGTGGGTGATGAGGTCCGGGTTCAAAACTGCATCTGCCTGCCGTACAAGGAGTTGAAGCGCGATGTTGCCAACGAGGTCATCATGTAGCCTGGTTTGGTCTTGAGCATGCGGAATAATTCGAGAACGTTGCAGACGCGGTACCTTTTTTTTTTGGCGGGAGAAGCAGGCCATAGAGAAAAGGACCAGATTGTGTTATGAGGCATCCTTCCACAGGTCCACCGCACTTACGATGAGTTTCAAATGTGAAGTAATGTACCAGTACCCCGGGACAAGATCTCTCCCTATGATTGGTTATCATTTCTTCTATCACGCAATCAGCCTTGGAGGTGAGATGAATAATAAGCGCCCAGAACTATTGCCGATTAGGGAGAGGTAGGGCCATATAAAAATCTTCGACTTCTACCGTCCAATCTACCTGATCTTCCAGTCATGACTTCTCATCTTGTCGAGCGCATCAAGGATGACCTACCAGTCAGATCCTGGAACCCTGGCAGAATCGCTCGCAAACAACGTGGTCCTAGACGACAAGGCAGCTTCCAGGGCTGCAGTTCGTCAGCGACATGAAGAGCCTACTAGCCTTCGTGTAGGCGCAGTCGACAAATCTCACTGGGGATGCCGTACCAAATAGGTAGCAAGAAAGGGACTGTCTGTGACACTGACCAGAGGACCAAGGCGCATTTCACCCTCAATCGGAGGAACATGCTGGCATCAATGCTGCTCGGATGAAAATTCGTCCGCAGGCCCTCGGCAGGGACACGCATCCGAACTGAAGCCCTTGTCGTCAATAACTGCTGCCTTGTTGACAGCTTGGCTTCTTCTAATTCCAATTTAAACCATCGATTTTGCAAGCCGAGCATCGACGGATTCCATTGACTACAACAACCACAGTTTTGACGGCTACAAATCGGACAAACCACGCCGGGAATCAAAAAATGGCGTACACGCTTACAGTGCCCGACAACTACAGGTGAGAACAACCCAGCAACCAGTCTTTCAAGGTCTGGAATGATGATCTGACAATACTCAAAAGCTATGTCGTCTTCGTCGCTCTAGGGGCGGTCCCGCTTCTGTCCTGGATCCAAGGCAACGTAGTAACGGTACTACGCAAACCAGCTGGAGTGCCCTATCCGAACGCCTACGCTTCGCACGAAAAAGCCAAGGAGAGCCAAGCTGCGTACAAGTTCAACTGTGCCCAGAGAGCGCACGCCAATCTTCTGGAGAACATGCCGCAGACAATCGCCTACATGCTGTTTGCAGGATTGGAGTATCCCACGGCAACGCTCGCTCTGGGAGCTGGATGGCTCTTCTTCCGAATCGTGTACGCCCTCGGCTATATCAGAGGCCAGGCGAAGAATGGAGGTGGCAGGCTTTTCGGAGGCCCAGTTTGGCTGATGCAAGGCGGGCTTTGGGCCTTGTCTCTGGCTACGGCGTGGAAGATGATTTGAGAGAGGATCCCTTCTCGTTAGCATTGCGGCCAGGGACACGTGGGAATAGCGGGAGAGATGATGGACTAGACCTCGGGGTGGCATTGTAAGATCTGTAGGACGGGACGGGCACTCATGAACGAAGTCCGAGATGTCCTGGTTCGCCTGGATATGAAAGCTGGAGTGTCCGAAGGACTGATCAAGGCTGAAACTGATACTCCCCTCTCCTAGACACGTGGAAGCTCTCGAAGCATGCCGGTTGGAACTCATTTTCACGTAGCCTCGCATAGTCTGTGCTTGAAGTCCCGTGAGGCGATCCTACCTTTCGCCAATCAAGTATAATACTGGTTAGATGAGGCTACGATAATGGGTGCAAGAAGAGGCGCGTAGGCGGTGCGCGTAAAGTCCTTTTCTCTCTGCCCCTCTTGCCCTCTACATGAGTCAGTGAGGCACGCGACCCCACACCAAGTGAGTCATTTTTCAAGAACAATTTGTTCTGTGGTTTTGTGCCTCGTCAATCCAGGATTTCATCTGCAATTTTCTCGACGGTCGTAGCCCTAACATTGTCCTTCCTCGGCCTCTTCGTCCTTCACCATGGCGGACACGACCGAGTCCATAGCGCAAGACACTGCCAATCTCCACCTCGATGAGGTCACTGGCGAGAGAGTGTCCAAGTCAGAATTGAAGAAGAGGCAGAAGCAAAGACAGCTGGAAGAAAAAAAGAAGGGAAAGGCCGCGGCTGCGCCGCCCAAGGTCGAGAAGAAGGCCACGAATGCAGAGCTCGACGAGAGCAATCTGAACCCGAACCAATACTTTGAAATCAGAAGTGGCCGCATCAATCGGCTGAGAGAAACCAAGGATCCGAACCCGTACCCTCACAAGTTTTCGGTCAACACGAACCTGAGCAAGTTTGTTGAGGAATATGCCTATCTCAAGCCTGGAGAACAGAAGAAGGAGGTGGAGATACGGGTGGCAGGAAGGGTCTATGTCAAGCGAGCCGCAGGTGCGAAGCTAGTCTTCTACGACATCCGCAGCGATGGCACCAAGGTCCAAATAATGTGTCAAGCGCAAGAGGCCGACGGCGGCGTCTCCTTTGAGGCACAACACGAGCACCTGCGGAGAGGAGACATCATCGGAGTCATAGGATACCCAGGTCGAACCGCACCCAAGAATCGTCCAAATGAGGGCGAACTGTCCGTCTTTGCTCGTCAAGTCATTCTTCTCACACCCTGCCTGCACCAAATCCCCTCGGAACATTTCGGCCTTCAAGATGTCGAAACGCGCTTCCGCCAACGCTACCTCGACCTCATAATGAACGAGAAGTCGCGCAACATCCTCCTCACCCGCGCCAAGATCGTCTCCTACATCCGTCGGTACTTCGACTCCAACGGCTTTGTGGAAGTGGAAACACCCATGATGAATTCCATCGCTGGCGGTGCCACAGCCAAGCCATTCAAGACGCACATCAACGAGTACCAAACAGACATGTTCATGCGTATTGCACCTGAGCTTTTCCTCAAGATGCTGGTTGTGGGCGGTATCGAACGGGTCTACGAGTTGGGCAAGCAATTCCGCAACGAAGGCGCTGACCTGACACATAACCCCGAATTCACCACCTGTGAATTCTATGAGGCTTACGCCGACGTCTACGATGTGATGGAGCGCACCGAAGAACTCGTCTCCGGGCTTGTCAAGGAAGTCGCAGGTGGGTACCAGACAACGTTCCACACGCAGACAGGAGAAGTCTACGAAGTTGACTGGTCGCGCCCGTGGAAGCGCATCGACATGATCCCGGCGCTCGAGGAAGCCACCGGCGAAAAGTTCCCCTCAGGCGACCAACTCCACACCGCCGAGACGAACGAGTTCCTCAAGCGCGTCCTGAAGAAGTGCAACGTGACGTGCCCCCCCCCGGAGACAAACGCGCGCATGCTCGACAAGCTGGTGGGCGAATTCATCGAGGAGAAGTGCATCAACCCGACATTCATCACGGGCCACCCGCAGATCATGTCGCCTTTGGCCAAATACCACCGCTCATCGCCGGGCATCTGCGAGCGCTTCGAGGCGTTTGTGTGCAAGAAGGAGATTGTCAACGCGTACACCGAGCTGAACGACCCGTTCGACCAGCGGTTGCGGTTCGAGGAGCAGGCGCGCCAGAAGGCCCAGGGCGACGACGAGGCCCAGATGATCGACGAGAACTTCTGCACCTCGCTCGAGTTCGGCCTCCCGCCCACAGGCGGCTGGGGCATGGGCATCGACAGGATGGTTATGTTCCTGACGGACAACTACACCATCAGAGAGGTCTTGGCCTTCCCCTTCATGAAGGAAGAAAAGACCCCCGCCGGTGGCGGTGGTGCGGAAAAGACTCCCTCGGTCCACGAACTCCCGGCGACTTATCCGAAGCCTTAGATTCGCTATTGCTGCTGTTGCTGCTGCGTTGCGATGGATTGAAGTGTTACTTGATGAGCTCATGCCCTTTTTTCCTATCTCGGTGCGCATGTGGATGTGCGGGTTTGGGTGTGGGTGTGTGCCGAAGTGTGTAGAGGGAGTTGTATGCGTATGCGTATAGCAGACGACCACGAGACGACCACGAACTGTGCTTAACTGGGCTGGGCTGGGCTGAGCTGAGCGGATAACACCCCCAAGGATAGAAATGTGCGAGCGCGCCCATAGAGGTAGATTAGATTAGTATTCTAGTCTCCTTGACGAAACAAGAAATAACTATGCATGTTCCGTGTTGGTTGGTACCTTTGGCGTTGAGGAACTCTCAATCCAATTCAAGTAAAGGGCCTCGCAAACGATTTACATCTTGGCCGCAGATATGGTAGTTAGGACTACCATATCCTCTTGGCCACCATCTCATACCGTCTGACTTTGTCAAAACTCTCGACCCCGGTTCCCTTTTCCTTGTTCTTCTTGTCCTTTTCCTCCCTGTCGCGCAACGCTTTGAGGCCCGCAGGGTCGTCCTCGTAGATCCATCTACGTTTGTCGTCGTCGACTTCAACCACGCCCCATCCCCCGACACGCCGACCGCCATCGACATGGTAAATGGGATTTCTCTCGCGCATTTTCATCGACCGGTAGCGAGATCTCGCAAAGGCGAGGAGGAGCATTCCCAAAACCAGCTTGCAGGCCAGTAAGATGAGGAAAAATAGGAGAAATAATAGTATGGTCGTCATGTGTGTGACGACGCTGGAGCTGGTGATGGCCGCGGGGATGGCTCTGATGATGTCGTCGACGGTTCTAGAAATCGCGGTGCTTGTGGTCATCGGCATGGTTGAGCGAGCTGCAGAGTAATGTTTGTGGATGCTTGCCAGGCTGGTCGATGAGGTTGGCGAGCTTGGGGGGACCCAGGCTGCCATAAACATCTGGTATGTTTGCACAGTGGCCCGGATTAACAGACAGCTCAAGGGGATGACCGGTAAGCCCAATCGCTTGGTTAGGTTTTGGTCTCCGAAGGCGTTCGTGTAATAATCCTTCGCCAAGACGTCCAGAAAACGGTCATATATTGCAGGCCGGGTGTTGTTGAATTTGTTGATGTAGGCATGCTTGAGCCAATCCACCAGCATCTCAGACCCAAGGACGGCCAAAAATGGCCCTAGGACCTGACTGACAGCTGGTGCGTACGACGTTATCGTACTGACCGCTGCCGGCAACAGAGTGAATGACTTTGGAAGGATCGAGCTCACCGATCGCGGAGGCAGAGCGCTGGTAAAGGGGATGCTGCTATTCGTAATCAGTGGAGGTGCTGCTATTGAAGTCGATGCTCTGGCAAAAGCACTTAATCCTGCACTCAGTCCTCCTGTTTCTACGATGTTGCGGGACGCAATGATAACGAGCATGTGCCAGAGTTGGAAACGTTCGACGACATCGGCACATGTCAATTGAAAGAGGTTCTCCTTCTCAAATTTTTTGAATACGGTGGACTTGATTTCCACAAACTGGTTTGACAATAGTAATGTGATGAGAGCGTTCGAGTATGAGTTGACGGCCACGTTGAGAGTAATAACTTGGTAGAACAGAGCCGTAGAGTGAATGACTGTGTAGGTGAGTGCGAGGACGAACAACCAGAATGGCCGTAAAACTTTGCTGTGGCCATCTGGCTTCCGTTCGAGGGCTTCTTTGGAGAACAAACATTCAAGGACATCCTGTCCTATTGCAGAAAAAAGGCGATCACAGACTTCCAGGAGATTGTAAATGACATAGAGCTTGATGGCGGCTTGACCACGAATCCAATGGTACATCCGGCTAGCATCAAGTCTGAGAAGGATAAGACATGTGCAAATGATCAGCAGCCCCTTAAGCATGTCCGCTTTGTCATCAGGAAGCAACGCCGATGGCACTGACTTTGTTCTCTGATGCTGTCTTCCCTGCCTGCGATTTTGCGACGGAACAGCTGGAGCAGGTTTGCTTTCGCCAGTGTCGGAACCCGAGGGCTTCCGTGTCGAAGCTTGCACAAGACTGCTCCTCCGTCTTCTCCACATCCTTCCAGTCCCATTGTAAACAAAATTCGAGACGAAATGCACTTCACTCACGAAGTTCATGCACCAAGAATAGGCTAAGATGTACAATGATTTAAGGAGCCTGAGGGGGAGGATTGTGAAGGTATAGAGCCACGAATCGAGGCATGCAAGAGTTCCGAACCAGAGGACTCTCTCAAGATACATTGGGAGTAGCAAGAAATTCATCAGTCTCTCAATCTTGGCTCGTGAAGACTCATATGGAAAGTCACTGTTGGCGGACCTGTGAATGTAGAGCTGAGAGGGTCGTTGTGAGGACAGTTCGAGCTGGAGATATGTCGGGATCGACAAGGGCGGCAATGGAATAGATGCTGGCATGGGGGATGGGAGAGGTCGTCCAGAAGACGAATGCCTTCTCCCCTGAGTTCCATCAACTCTTGTCCCGGTCTCGGGAATCTTGAGAGTTGGCCGTGAGCCAATTCTATCGTGCCTCTGGGGAGACTGAGGGCTCTTTACTGAGCCGGGAGTGGATAGAGTCCTTTGCGGGAGGTTGGGTCTGAGCGAAGGACTGCCTGCAGATTGAAATGGTTGGATACTAGTCTCGATCGTGAGGTTACGACTTCGTTTTGTGTCTGAGGTTTCTGACCGGCCCAGTGTGCTTGATTCAGTCTTCGGAGTCGAAATGAAGACACCTTCGTGAGGAGATGCAGGAACTTTGTCGGAAACGGATATAACTCTGTGAGGGCTCAGCTCACCGTTGGAGGTGGGTGCTGCAATTTGTGGATCGACAGCACGAACAGGAGAGACCACCGGAGTCGTCGGTTTTTGCACTTTGTCTGGCGATGATTTGTGCACTCTTCCTCCATTTTGTTCGACCTCCATTCCATTTGGACTTTCAAGGATACACCCCATGACCAATTGGCCTGACCCTGCAGCGGATGGGAGCGACCAAGAGTGGGTTGTTGTCTCACAATCTTCCAATATGTCTTTGAATGTCGTTATTTCCACAGCATGGACATGATCCGTATCTCTGACCCCGTTGGGGGTGTTCCCAACTCCATTTCGCGTTCCGAGCCCACTGCCCAGCCCTTCGTCTGGTCGAAGTTGTGTATTGTCCGACTCGGTTGAACCTCTGTTCTGTTTCAGCGATATTCCGTCTTGGGCGCCCTTTTGAACTCTCGGGGAGTGAACCGGTGACGCGGTATTCTGAGAATTCTGAGGTGTAAGTGGTTCCCGACCGGCGAAGCAATGGTGGTCACCATTCACTGTGGCGGTGATGGTCGGCCCTTCCATGGTGAATAGGAAGAAAATAAGTGGCAGACACAAAGCCGGCCATGCTGCTGTGCCCCTGAACAAAAATTGGAAAAGCCTTGAGCTGGTCGCAAGCCCGGGCGAGATCCAATGCCTAGAGCGCCATGACCGCGTCTCTTGAAGTGTGTCTGTGTGGGTTGAGAGACACCAGTGTGTCCCCTGCGGAAGATGAAATGTTCACAAATAAACGTGGATGTTAAGTCCGCAGTAAGTCCGGGGCCAGACGTGGCTTGGTGGCTGCAAATGGCTGCTGCACAAAAAAGCCTGACATCGCCTGACAATGTCCGGTGACGCCTTACCGATTAGACACCTTGACGATTGATCGTCTCGTCCTGCTGTCTCTGGCAACATCTTCCAACCTTGTCCTACATATTGCCAACTTTTGCAGTCCAGTGCCATTGCCACTGTTTGCGCAAGAAAGAAGCAGTGCTACCCCCGAGATTGCCTCTTAAAAGGTCGTAAGAACACTCTTCAACCTCCAGAACCGGTCTCACTGGGCTTCCACTTGAACAGTCTCGCCCGATCAGACAATCGAACGTCAGCATTGGTGCTCCCTGTGCTTGTCTCCTCACTTTGTGTCTAAAATGGTTCTTGCCGCAAAGCGTTAGCGGTTCTCGGGTCTACTCGACGGCTATGTCAAGAACGACGTCTCCTGTACCAGAGATATTGGCAACAGTGCAATCCTATGGACCAAGAGCGGTTCAGTGGCTGGAGTCCTCCACGAGACGATCTCGATGGTCTGATTTCGGGGTATGATGCATCTGCTTCGACGCCAGAGATTGACAGGACTGCATGGAGTGAACAAGGCAGCGCGACGTCCTCTCCTCAACCAACACGCTATCTCGAACCTTCCTCCGCGGGCATTGTCAGATCCCCTCTTCAACAACCCACGAGCACGGTCCCCAGTTCGAGACCACTCCCTCAGCGAAGAATAGCATCTTCGAACCAGATCCCTGGCTTGGCTTATGGAGAGCAACCTCCATCAGTCTCGTTCGAGCCTCCTCTTCGATCAATTTTCGTGTCCGGACCGCCCACTGCTTCAGTCTCAGCAAATACCGCTCTGGCATCTCTCAGCGCTGCAGTGTCCTCGAACAATTCAGGCTCATTGGCTGCTCTCACAAGTGCCGGCGGAAGTCGGCGCGCCAATACAAAGGCAGGGGACACCACCCTCTCAGCTCCACCGGCTGCCTCGAGCAGTCGACATCCTCTGCTTAATCCTGAAAAGGATGTGGATGACCCTACGACAAGCGCAGTCACCAACCCTTTTGATTCCGATTCTGCAAACACCTCCACTACCCTTGCTCGCCTATTCATCACCAGCGACGGAACAAGTCCTGATCCTACATCTAGGGGTGCTTCCCAGCTTCGAACCGTGTCCACTGTCAGCCGAAGTATAGGTGGCACGTCAACACTTACAGGGCATCTCTTCCACCATGGCTTTGAGGAAGGCCGTCACTCAGACATTACTGTGCATGCATTTGGTCAGAGTTACAGACTTCACAAACTTCTCCTCGATCGTGTGCCATACTTTTCGTCGGCATTCTCCGGATCCTGGGCGGAGAGCACGGCGCGAGAGATGAAAATCCCCTGCGAAGACCTCGATCCCAATATTACTAAAAATGCTTTCGAGCTTGCTCTGAAGAGGATCTATGGAACGCAGTTTCCGGTTCAAGAAGAGGAAGAAGCCATTGGGCTGTTCGCCACAGCTTGTTGGCTTGATATGCCTGACCTAGTGGACTCCTGTGTTGACTCAATCCTTCGCCAGATGCAGCCAGCTACCCTTCACAGCTTGATCAAGCTAGTAACTAACAACTACTATGGAAAAGCTGGGGATCGAATTCTCGCTTCTGCGAAAGCCATGCTCTGCAAAGATGGTTGGGAGATGCCATATGAGTACTGGGACGAGATCCCGGCCGAGATCATCCGCGAGATCGTTGGTGGGGACCCTTTCTTTGTACCAAGCGAGTGGGAGCGTTGGTATCTCTCTTTAAAGCTCTTGAATCGCCGACTGAGGGCCAAAGCCATCGAAAGCGGGCTAGTTTCTCCTAGTGGTCGATATCTATATCCCAAACCGACAAGTCTGCGATTCTTTGCCGTGAGATTTGATGCTCCTTACAGGGTAACCGGACACAATCGGTACGTTTCCGAAAAGGATGAGGCCTGGGTTGCGCTATACACGTCTCCTGAAATCGCACCAATCCTCGTGCTCCTGGATGAAGGGATCCATTATGTCCATCTTCGTTTCGAACAATTGCAACGGATTCGGACGCAAAAAGACATCCTTGGAGTCCCAGTCCTCCCGGAGAAGGTCATAGGCGATGCCTTATGGATGTCGATGGAACTTCGTCAGAAAGTTCTCAACGCTCGGGAGACTGACGAAACACTCGGATTGAGCGAGGTAGCGGAAGACTTTGAAGATGGCGAGGAGCACTCCGAGCAAACATCGATCCACAAGAAAGGGAAGTCACGAGACAATGGCCCAGCCAGCTCAAACGGAGCCTCTGAAGAAATGGAGTCCGGTTCCTGGGATGGCAACGGCAAGCCTCGAAAGTTTTGGATTCCGAGCCACGATGTCTCCTGCGTTATGGGAGGCACGCGAGACGCTTGTGTAGCTGCCAACTCTACGAGCGTTGCAGAATGGAGCACTCATGCAGCCAGGTTGTCGGCTAGCCTTGAGCCCACTGACGTCGCCTGGGCTCTCGACTTCACAAGTGGCAATGTAATCGACAGTGGCAGGCCTCCGTCAAGAGGCTATTCGCCAACGTCGACACCTCGTTTCAGCTACTACCCTCCCTTTCGGTTTTCGGCGGAATTTCCAAGCCCCCGGACATTGAAAGAGAAGAAACGTGTCTATTCACACACAGTTTGGTATGCGGGGAGTCTGTGGAACCTCTACATCCAGCGAGTCAATAATTCGAAAGTCCAACAGCTGGGCATATACTTGCACAGAGCCAAGGATAAAGATCCATGTGAAGACCCACTTGCCTTGTGGATGTCTTCCACCGTAGACGACCGCATCGGACAGCTGGAGCGGGAGATGCTCCTTCGGAAGAATGAACGGCGGAACCGAAGCTGGCACGTCAATGAGCCCATTCGAGGATCGGCAGTCGAGCCGGAGGACGCATCAGTCGAATCGACACCTGAGTACGACAGTTCCAATCTGCAGGTTAGTGAAGGTGAAAGAGTGTCTTTACGACGGCGCTCGGCGAAGTCGGCACAGAAGTCCTCACAGAACCCAGAAACTGCAGGAGGGCTGTCCAGCGACTCCTCTCCCCCAGACGCACTGATGCTAGATTCAGATGAGGAGGACGCCGAGTTGTTGCGGACAAACAGGAAATACAATGTTTCCGCAATGCCGCCCTACATGGACGGGCGTCCGACCATCCGGACATATTTTAAGATTTATTCGCCCAGCAAGGGCGGGCGACTTTTGAGCATTTACGAGAGCGCGCCAGACAAGTTCGATGTCAGCAAGAGTTGGGGATGGAAGAGCAGCCAAATGCAGCTCGACGACGGGATCGGCGCATGTGACACGACGAAGTCTAGCAAGGACGGGAAGTTGAGGTATATGGTCGTCATTGGCAACATCTGAGCCGCCGCGTGGAAGCCATTGCGCTTTGAGCATTCGTGTTGTCTCGCGATTATGACTTGATGATTTCAACGAGCAACGAGACGTCTAGCAGCTGTGATGGGGTCCTTGCTAGGAAATGGTTGGCCCTCTTGATCATAGAGTATACAAATAACCACATTCCGGTAGCATTTGCTCACTGACGGCCGACTTCCACAGCGACTTGTTTGTGTGTGCTCGAGCCTTATTGAGCTACTGAATCGTACGAGGCTGAAATCGCCATGACCAAAATAGGTATGCGCACAGTGCTCGGTAGGTTGCTGACTGAAGTGATTGCCAAATGGGAAAAGAGCCCGACAGGTTTGTCTTAATATGCGAATATTTGCTAAGAGCTCATGCATTGACAAAGCATAGAGAAAAGATCCGGCGGATGAATCCAACCAAGCGGTACAAGAATGAAGAACATTCGAGTACGATGTCGTATTTGCCGAGGCACTGTTGTCTGACAGAAAGATGATCTTGCTGCTTGCTTGTGTGCTTTTGGTGGCACACTTTGTAACAAGGGCACTGGCTCTGCGGTGTCCGTCAGACGAAATCATGGAAGACCAACGATCCTGCCACCAAAAGGTCATCGTACAATTTACTCAGCATCTCCAACTCTTAGTACATCGCAGACGGCTGTACGATTAATGGTCTTCCTTGCACGAAGCTTGGTCCGGGGCTACGTCAATGCCCTCACGAAGCCTGGAACTCGATATCCGTCCGTAATCTTCTTGGTGGCCGTGGACGCCTATTTCTCCCGGTGGGCAAATCTGTCTGCCTCCGTCTTGGACGAGCTCCAACGAGTCGTACGGGATTCTGCTTGTGGCCATGTCACTGTCAGCCTTTGAGCAAAAGACGCCGTCGAGGTTTCCCTCATTGAGGTCGTGAGCTAGATGCTGATTGGGTGGATTCGGCAATTGATTTCAAAGCTCCCTCGCGTGGAAGGATCGCCCAAGGACTCTCCGAGGCCTCTCGAGCAGAGCGAAGGGACGTGGAAAGGCCCGGAAGGCTAACTAGATGCTGTACCTGCATATATAAAATCCAAAGTACAGGTCGTCGACTTCCCTTCTTCAACTCATCAAGCCTTCAGTCGAGTCTACAAACCCTACCCATTGTTCCTAAACATCATCCACTCACAACCCGGAAAAGCACACCAATTTTTCCCAGAATCGTCACATCTCACTGACGATCCCAATGGATTCACATGATGCAAAGCCTCTCATTGTCAACAAGGGTGCTCCTGGAATCTCTTACTTCACACCCGCTCAATCGCCTCCCTCGGGCACAGCCAAGAACCCTCAGTCCGATGGCAGTGTGATTCCCAAGCTCTTCCAGCCTCTGACCATTCGCGGGGTCACTTTCCAGAACCGTATTTTTCTGTCGCCCCTGTGCCAGTATTCCGCCCAGAACGGCTACCTGACTGACTGGCACTTGACTCACCTTGGTGGCATAATTCAGCGAGGTCCTGGTCTCGCACTGGTCGAAGCAACGGCAGTCGCCCCGGAAGGCCGAATTACCCCCGAGGACAGTGGTCTTTGGGAAGATGGTCAAATGGTCCCTTTGAAGAGAATCGTCGAGTTTGCGCACAGCCAGAGCCAAAAGATCGGTATCCAGTTGGGCCATGCTGGTCGGAAGGCTAGCACTGTTGCCCCTTGGCTGAGCAGGGGAGATACTGCTCAGAAGGAAGCCGGCGGCTGGCCTACTGAGACACTTGCTCCGAGCGCCATTGCCTTCCAGGATACCTACCCTCATCCCAATGCTCTCACAATCGAAGGCATCCAAAGAATCAAGAATGCCTTTGTGGCCGCTGCCAAGAGAGCTGTAGAGGTTGGATTCGACGTCATCGAGATCCACGGCGCTCATGGCTATCTCATTCATGAGTTCCTCAGCCCAGTCAGCAACAAGCGAACCGATCAATATGGCGGATCCTTTGAAAACCGGACACGATTGCCTCGAGAAATCGTCGAGGCTGTGAGGGCTGTGATTCCCAAGGATATGCCGCTGTTCTTCCGAATCAGCGCGGACGACTGGTTGAAGGGCCAAGACGAATTCCCAGAAAGCTGGACCGTTGACGAGACAATTAAGCTGGCCCCGATCTTGGCAGAGTTGGGCGTGGACTTTCTCGACACCAGTTCGGGTGGCATCCACCCTGCCCAAAAAATCAAGGGGGGACCAGGCTATCAAGCCCCGTTCTCAGTGGCTGTGAAGAAAGAGGTGGGAGATTCTTTGCTTGTTGGAGCGGTTGGGTCCATCACATCCGGAACTCTAGCACAAGAACTTCTTGACCAAGGCCTGGATGCCACTTTTGTGGGACGGTATTTCCAGAAGAACCCAGGCCTTGTTTGGACCTTTGCCGAGGATCTCGGTGTCGAGATTCACGTTGCAAACCAGATTTCGTGGGGCTTTCAAGGCCGCGCGGGTGGTAAAGGGAAGCAGGAGCTGAAGTCGGCTCGATAAAACAGGTATCAATCACTCTGGCGGTCTGGTGTAGCGAAGGCGTCTGCGTGTTTGCTGCGTCTGTTCTCAGGCGCGTAGAAGAGAAAAATATTTTGTCAATAGGACGATAGCTTCATTGAAATAGAATTGTGGTTCGTACCAGTCTCGATGAACTCCAGGTTGTGACCTTTACGGGATCCAATGGCCGCAGAGATGTGTGTCGACAAGGGCTGAGAGTGATGCAACTTTGACGATCTCGCAATCCCAACGCTCAAACGGGTTCCTGCATGAGGACGATCGCGCAGGGCGAATCAGCTGAGTCCGAAGGTGTGGGAAGCGTGTTTGAGGATGCTCGACAGGGGCGGTGGGAGCGGGCGGAGAAAGAGCCTAATGCGCATCACTAGCCATATCGAGGCCCTCAAGACGCCTAGCGCAGTTTGAAGTTTGGGGGGCGGGTAATGTAGGCGTTAGGCACGTACAGGCAGTGACAGGCACCAACACGGCACCAACGGCAGCTCCTTGTCCTGTCAATGATCATTCCAGCAACACCATCAGCTTAGCATTTCTGCTGCACCTTCTCCTCCCTTCAAGCTTCTCGTCCTATTCACCGACCCGCCCCTTCAATTCAGGTTTCCTGATTCAGTTGATTCCTTAGCATTGTCGTATCAAGTCTCTCATTCAGCATAAGCGCTCCTTATTGCTCTGCTCTTTCTGTGTCATTGTTCTCCCGTTCTGGTCTTGACCCACGCACGTTCTTTTTATTCTACCAGCCTCCCCTTGTCTTGCGTCTTTGCTGCACACTTTGTCCACCTTGACGGACGACAAGCAATCCACACGGCAGTCGATTTCTGCCGACACCTCTTCTCTGCTCTCGTCCGTGGTACAGCATCCCTCCTCGAAGGTGGAGAACGTTGGTCCTTGGATATCGAGAAGAGGCGGTTGCGGTCTCTGTCTTGGTGATAGCCGGATGGGACGGCGATGCAATAAAGACATTACAAGACAAAAGGTCTCGATTTTCCCAGGCAATTGAGCTGGACTCTTGTTACACTTGGCCTTCGGCTGCGCCGCGCCCGAGACCAAAGTACAACTGCCGCAGAAATAGAATCCGGCCACCCGTGCTCGGCTGCCCCCTATCACGACCTACTTAATAAGCCGCTGCCAGGTTGCAGCGTCTTGAACAATCTTTACACAATTCAAATACCATATTCGCTATGGGTTGTTGCGGAGGCGAACGAGAAAAGTTCGGGAACTTAAGTGCTGAGCAGAAATGGGACTACATTGTATGCATCACCTGGGTTGGGAAAGCCAATTCCGACTGACATGTATCACAGAACCTCGACGACTTCAAATCTTCCTCATGCTGGACCCCCTTTGCTTATGGCTATCTTTTGGTCATGCTTGTCGTCTCATTATCCGTCTACGCAGTTGACACATTTACAGCCATCAACCTCCTCGCCTTCGATAGATGGGCTGGTCAAATAAAGCCCGAGATCCCACTCAACATCTCTCGATGGATTTTTGCCGGATGTATTATTTTATCATTCGTTCTACTCGTCTACCGATGGATGAGGGCAATCCGGGTAATGCGACAGGGCGGAGTCGCAAAAAACTACTTGGATCCATTGGCCGTGCGCATACAATCGATCCGGTGGGGAAAGGCAAGAGGATGGAAACGTTTCTTGGTCTTTGCCGAGTTGACAAAGAGTCGAAAGGGAGCTGATTACGTTGCCTTGTTCGCATATTTCTCTTTCGAAGCTTGGCTCCGTATCGTCTTCGCAGAAGGACCTCGACAAGTCGTCAACGCCATCACACTATACTCGGTGTTGAGGTTGAAGTTGGTTCCGGAAGGTGAACACGCTCCATCAGATGGCCACTCTCCGGTGGTTCAGTTCTTTGTCAATGTTGGAATCTTGGCCGATTCCAATCATTTGCAGGCCGTGGTTCTTTTCGGCATGCTGTGGACTCTTATCATCTGGGTCATCTCCGTCATCAGTCTAATCATTTCGGTCATTCTCTACCTCGTCTTTCTTTGGCACCACATCCCCACTGAGGATGGAGGACTAACGGGGTATTGCCGTAACAAGATTAATCGAAGGATGGAGAGGGTTGTCAAGACCAAGGTTGACAAAGCACTCAAGAAAGAGAACGCGCTCCGAGCCCGAGCAGAGGCCAGGGCTGCTCGTGAAGGGACAGATATGAAGAAGCAACCGACCTTGCCGAATATTGCGGGTGCCGATGGCGACTCGATTCCTCCACTGTCAAGACAGACGACAATGACAACTCTCCCGGAGTACTCGTCTCGACCGGCCACAAGCAGGACCAGTGACGATGCAGTTCCTACTCTGCCTGATATTACGCCTCGCCCACCCATGCCTACTCGAACTGTGACCCATGGATCCGCAGCGTCGTGGTCAAGCTACACGTCAAATGCTCCATTGATGGGCTCGGCCGCAGACATGGGATTTGCACCTGATCGAGTTCAGACACCAGCGTCTGAGGCGAACAGTCCCTGGTATGGAAGGCCAGCACCAAACCGCAGCGTATCGAACATGTCGCAACCTCCGCAGCGGTCCTTTAGTCCCGCCCTTCCTCGACCAGGTACAGCACAGGGTGATAGAAGTGGTCCTGGCGCATATCAGATGGAGACTCTCCCACGACCAGGTACAGCACAAGGTGATAGAAGTGGTCCTGGTGCATATCAGATGGATCCTCTCCCCCGACCAGGTACGAGCATGTCTAGCAATGGACGGGGCAGATATCCTTTGGAAAACAGCAGCGCCCTTCCATATCCAGATGATCGAAGCTCGACGCCATCGACTCAGCCACCATCATGGTCAGGACCAACCTTCGATGGCCCAATTGACGCATCGGGTCGTCGTACCCCTGGGGCTGCGGTTGGACCAGCATTTCCTGGCATTCCCGAAGAAAGAGGACGAAACTCACCCCTGCCGGGACCTCAGTTCCGATCGCAAACTCCCACTCAAGGTCACCCCGAAAGGTCATTTACACCAAATGGCGTCGGCCCAGTTAGGTCGATGACACCGAGCGGAGGCCCAACGCTGCCTCGACTACAGACGTCAAGCTCTGCTGGTTATATTCCTTACTCGGCAGAGCGATCGATGACGCCGGCATCATCAATTCCTCCAAGTGCTACCATTCGTAGTGTCACCGAGCCAGTAAGGACGTACACCCCTTTTGGACCACAGTCGGGTCTCCCAAGTGGTCTCCGAGATAGGCCGACTCCACAGAGACAGGGAAGTCAAGGAGTGGACGACATATTGGACCATTATTAACGGATTGATTCTCCTGGCAAGGGAAAGCGGCTTCTGTGCTCGCGGTGACGAAACAATAATGATGATTAATAGCTAGATTCTGTAACAGAAAATGCCACAATGTTTACCTGCGGAATTTTTTATTTCTTCAGAAAATAAGAATATCCGTAGGACATGCCCTGTGAAGGGTTGAAAGTGGAAGGGAGTGGTGTGATAGAAGCATCCTTTTGGAGGGAAGCTTGATGGGTAGACGCATCTCCTGGACGCTCCGATTGGCCAATGCGAACTGCTCACTTGTCGTCGTGACGTCTGGATGTCGTGTTGTACAAGTATTAATTCAGGCTTCTCCAGTCGGCATTCCACGAGGTTATAGGGCGAGACCGTCAGAAACTGTCGTGATGCTGCCTGCGTCAGCCTTCTCGAGGACCCTCCGTGAAGTTGCACCAGGCTTGTCGAAGCGGTTCTTTGAGTGCAGCCGTCGCGGTCAAACCTCTCATTTTGGCAAACTCCTCCCCCAATGTACACACTCGAGAGGAACAACGCAATCATCGTCGGTTACGACCAGACAGGGTCGAAACCTCAGAACGCGTTCTGGTCCATCAATACGATACTGCGGACACTCCAAGACCTCCCGCCCTTCAGACAGCTTTAAGGACCGCTCCTATCCGAGTACGGTTATCCGAACATTCTCTAATTCTGCGAATACGAAAGCCCCTGGCGCTGGCGACGAAGCTACCGGTTCAAATACGCAAAGAAAAGATGCCGGAGAAAAAGAAAGTGAGAGCAAGAGCAGAAAGTCCTTTCCAGATACCTCATCAAATATTGTGGCCTACTGGCTTCTCGGAAGTGCTGCCAGTGTCTTTGGGATCGTGGTGTTTGGAGGATTAACCAGACTTACCGAGTCAGGGTATGTATTGCCAGTCACTACACTCCTTCAGTCTTTGGGACATTGGAATGGATATCGTGTAGAGAACGTGCTGACTCGAGCCACGAAAACCCAGTTTGAGCATCACGGAATGGAAACCCGTCACAGGCTCTCTCCCCCCCATGTCTGACGCAGACTGGGAGTCTGAATTCGCTAAATATCGCTCGAGCCCTGAGTTCAAGATGCTCAATTCGCGCATGACTCTCGAAGAGTTCAAGTCCATCTACTGGATGGAATGGATCCATCGGCTTTGGGGGCGATTCATCGGGCTCTCCTTTGTGTTGCCTGCGGTCTATTTCGTCGCGAGGAAGCAAGTCTCCCGTACCATGGCAATAAGGTTATTGGGAATAGCAGGCTTAATTGGATTCCAGGGCTTCATCGGCTGGTGGATGGTGAAGTCGGGGTTGAAAGACGACCTATTTGCGCCGGGCTCCCATCCGCGTGTTTCGCAATACCGATTGACGGCGCATCTAGGCGCGGCTTTCATCTGCTACCTTGCCATGCTCTGGAACGGTCTTGATATCCTACGGACGAACAAGATCTTACGCGTCTCCTCTGACGGTGCAAACGCGACGCTCAAAGCCTTGAGTAATCCCGCATTAAAGCCGTTCAAGCGCTATGTCTCCCTCCTCGCAGGTCTGGTCTTCATCACAGCAATGTCTGGCGGTCTGGTCGCAGGTCTTGATGCAGGTTTGATCTACAACGAATTCCCATTCATGGGATTGGGCCTCACGCCTCCGAAGAGCGAGCTATGGGACAAGTTCTACTGCCGGGCACCCGACCATAGTGACCTTTGGTGGCGCAACCTGCTCGAGAATCCCAGTTTAGTCCAACTTGATCACAGGATTCTTGCGACGACCACCTTCACTGCGGTTATGGCGCTATGGGCATTCTCACGCTCCGCGGCAATGCAGAAGATCCTACCGAGAGCAGCACAGAAGGGAGTCCATGGCGTTGTCGGATTTGCGTGCTTGCAGGTCATCCTTGGCATTTCCACTCTATTGTATTTGGTACCGACTGGACTCGCAAGTGCACATCAGGCCGGGAGTTTGGCTTTGTTGACTTGGACAATCGTGCTGGGAAGCCGGGTGTGGTTCCCGACGCAAGCTGCACGGATTCTGGCCCAGCGGACGATGACGCACGTGAACGTTGGTGGTACCGGTTTTGAGATGGCGCAAAGGGCAGCTTTGATGTCCTCAGCAGCGAAGGCAAAGACATTGATGCCTGGGAGCCCGACCGCAGTGGCTGCTGTCGGTTTCATGCCCGCTGTCACAGCCATAGGTCTGGCTCTTGCTTCGGAGACAGAAGCTACCGTTGCGAGAAGACATCTATTCTCCCGAAAGCTTGAGGCCCATGCAGTCTCCGGGCTGGGTCCAACGCGGTCTTCCTGACTGTCTGTCCACGACCTTGTAACACACTCTGTGTCCGAAGAACCCTAAATCTTCACTCTTGAATAATGCCCTATGTTGAATTCCTCTCTGAAACAGTGGCTCTTCATCTCTGCAAGCTCGTCCCTATAGATTTCCTGAGTATTTTATGTTCTCCAGCTGATCGCCACGGCCGAATAATGGACTTCCTTTTCTCTTCTCCCTGACGATAACAAAAATCAGCGACTGCGAAGTCTCTCTATATGAACGAAGTTGCTCCGAACGTCGATCGGAAGTACACTCCCTTGATGAGATGCTCTCATCGAGAGATGTGTCCAGGCATATTATTATCACTACTGGCTGATTTTGTCTCTGCATTTGGCGAAATCACGGTGAGCAGCCGTTCAACGGCAGAAAACTCTGGAACATATTTCTCCCACCAAAAGCGCACCCTACCGGTTCTTCTAGGCATGAGAGCGTTGACCTTTAATACCAGTCTCGCTGGATAGTGGCCGGGATAGTGGCCGACGGCCATGGAGCTTTTCCCGAAAAGGAGGGGTACTCTGTACGGCGGTTCCATACCTCGACAGAAGATTTTCGACCTCCAGCAGGAGGATCCAACTGGGCGGCGACCATGTTAACCCTCAGTGGAGGCAAATTGGCACCGCTCGACGATCGATCACACTAAAGAGCTTAAGCATCTTATACGCCACTCACGAAGGGATTGTGTGTGTCCCCTATACAATGCAGGTATCGACAGTAAAGAGCTAGGTAATAGAGGCTTGCTGCAGGTTGGGCGTTCTCGTCTTCTCGGCCACAGCGCCTCTGCATTACATGTCCGACAGTTTCCTATTTAGGCCCGTTTCGAAACCCTCGCAGCAGGGCCAGAACCTGTCACTATACGCTGCACACAGATGGTCCCCTGCGATTGCTTGGACATAGTAAGCACTTGCTCTGCTTGCATCTCTCGGCTGTTTAGTAGGGTCCAGCAACTCCCAGCTTGTGTTAGGGCGGGCGGAAACTTGGGGAAAGAAGCATTGCCAAGCAACATTGGCCTGAGCTTAGAACTTGATTGCCCCGCTAATTACCCACTAGTACGGGCAATACGGGGTAGGGGCTTTCGAGAGCCTATTCTTAACCAAACACAGTATGTGTCCTGGAAAGTCTGATATACGCGGCAAATATTCCCAGGACGGTCCGTCGCTTCGGATCAGAATTCTCCTCGTCTTTCTGATGTCTCCAGGACAGGGGAACAGAGACGGAGACATATCCAAGGAATGTTCTCCTAACAGATTTTGGAGCCCGGCTAAATAACCCGGCATGAAATGAAGAATGAGGGCAAGTTCTAAGGGGCTCCCGTCATTCAGAATAGTTGTTCTACAAAGAGCAGAATAAACCGAAGACCTGCCAGAGGACTAGCCACAATTCTGGAGGAGCATACCGAACCGAGGAATGGTTGGTGAGGAGAAATTTCATCCTTAGCGCCTGATGGTTCCTGGTCCCCAGAGCTCGGTGTACTGCCTGCAGGTGTCGAATAACCGGTTCGAGTCCGTCTGTGGATCTGCCGGTAGATGTGGCAGTGTTTGCTGTGGAACCTAGGTCCAGCTAAATATCGGTCCGATCGTGGTGCTTCTTCTTGGAGATATATTTCTGTCTGCTGCGGACTTGGTCGGTTTCAATATGCGCACCTCTTTGGAACCTATTGACCTTAGCTTAAACCCATATTTTGTCCGTCGTATTTCTTTGTCCACCTCTGATAGAGCAGGGCAGGCGGCGTCAGCAGGAGATGGAAGGATAAGGATGTTCGGGGTCTCCAAGGTCGTGAAGAGAGGAGAATAGGAAATTAGGGAGCAGCCGAGTGGGGAGGATTGTATGATTCCGCAACCAGTCAGCCGCGACCTGGATTGGATGCCATTTTGTCCTCCGTCAGAGAGAACCCCGAAGGACGTTGCAGAGGGAGGGAAGGTGGTTTCTCACTAGCACGGCTAGGTAAGGCAGAACTAGATGTCAATCGACCCTCAGGGTGAAGGAGAAACTGAGAAGAGTGAGCGGAGGGTGGGTCGGCGGGCGCTTGTTAAAGTCGCAGGGTCAGGGTGACTCCCCCCTATGAAATGCAAGCAGTCCTTGTCCAAGCCCAATCAATATGCTATGGAACATCGCGGGCCACTTGGAATCGATACTTGTCTCTTGAGTGCAAGGTGGCACTAAGCCGAGTGACAAAGGCATTTTATCAACTTTTGGACCATTTCTCCTCCCCTGTAACGAAATGACAAGGCGTCAAAAGGACAATTTTTGCGAACCAGCATGCTTCATTGCATGTTCTGCAACATCTTGTGCCCATGAAAGATTTCTGGGTGCGTCGCATACCACTGTCGAATGTGCTTTTGGGCCGCTTCCGTTGTAGCAGGCCCGACAGCAAATTCCAGTGGCAGAATCGTTGATACTGAATCAGCGCTTTCCGAGGCGCACGAAGTGAAATCGATCTCCTTCTGCTTCGCCATTCTAAGGGATCAAAGTACGGGCTTCCCATTGGCTATTACGTCGAGCACAAGTGCATTGTTTTTGGGTATGCCCTAGGTAATCTAATTCCTCACAAGCCTCTTGGTGGACAAAATTAAAGTGACACCAGAAGTGCATCGGGAATTTGGAGGTTGAACACGGCTGACTCTGGAATCTCGACGACGAGAGGGTGAGTGGCTGGATAATGTCACGATAACCACCCTTGGGAGAGAAGGACGGAAGAGACGTGACATAGTATTGGCCAGGAACCTCGAGCAATCGTTTCACACAGGATCAATTCATGGGTCCTCTCGCTCCTCGATAGTACAGATTCCTATGAAACCATTAGTTGTGTCATGCAGCATTGGATGTGCAGCTCGGTTGAGTTATCACACATGGTAATGCTCCTCGCCCCTCGCCTGACGTTGGGTTACTCCTGGAATGCATGTAGGCACAAAGGCTTGAGGCGAATCCAAGATCGAATGATGCGCTGCCAATGGGCCCGCCACTGAAGAGGCTGCTGGCCACCACGCCCACCGCCGGAGCTGGCGCTGCTCACGTGCGGGTCTCAACGACGTGGAATATTAGGACATTGAGAGCTGAGTTGTCGGGGACGGCGACCTCGACAACTACTACATAGGCTTTGGCGGCACCAACCTCTGCAAAACATAACTTCCCATGCTGCGACAACTACAGCGACAACTGCTCTTGACGGACGGAACGGTCGTGCCTCGATGGCCAAGGTGGCAATTTGTCCTGACATGTCCCGGATAGGATCGGTGTCTGTCCACCTCGATAGCGCCGGTTCCCCTCCACCCCGACGGTCAGGAGCGCAGTCAAGTTGACCTCCATGGTCCTCCGATTTGTGGTCAACTATGCGGGGGGCTATGTCCGCATTCTCTTCCTGGCGACAGGGAACGGAATTCCGCCAGGGTCATGGAGTCTGTAGCCGATCTCGAAACAGGCGAAGACTTGAACGCAAATAAATTGCGACACAAATCTTAGATTTAAAACGGAATACCTCACAGAGGAATAACAAAGAGAGCAAAGCACGGCAACTAGCGAGAAAGGCCGGTCGGAACCCGTATTTGAGTGCTGGAGCAAAGTTTGATACCCCTTGGAGGAACTCCATGCAAGCTGGTAACTCGGTCAGTTTGTTCGAGATGGTGCGCGGAATCGTCGGGTGATGAGACAGGTCCAAGTCGCGTAGCAAAGTCGATAAGCTGCATTGAACTTTGGCAAGCATTGTTTGAAGGGTTCAGTAGCAGCATTATTGGCACAGTGACATCCAGTCGGTTATAACGAAAACTTAGTTCAGGAGCGGGCCGCAGATTGTAAGCCAATTACACAGGCGACGAAGGTGAATTTATCTTGAATTTGATACACGCACAATTCTGGGCAAATCGCCAGCCACATCAACGGAGCTACTCTTCAGGAAAGTGCGCATCCAGCAGTCGAATTGAGGTCGCAGCGGATGCAGCAGATAAAACGTTCCGGAAGTGCACCGTCGACATGGTGGCTGCCAGCGTGGCTCACACCAGCAGGCAATGCCTGACTGTCTTGTGACAATCGGGCCTGGCCTGTTTCAGGATAGCAACCAACGAGCAAGCATATGTGCATATTAGGTTGTTCTTCCAGCTTTATCCTGGCATACCTACCTAGGGCTCAGAGGACGAAAGGAGAGTTTCGACTATTGGGTCAATGGTTCAATATTATTGTCGATCCGAAACCGTTGACTTGTTGGGTTTCTTGATGGTGGGCATGTTCAACGGACCACGTGGAGGTGGCAGTGCAGGGTTGGGCTGCTGAATTCTGGACTCTGAGCAGTGGAAAATGCCGTGTGGATTGTGCGGCGTGCGCGTAACAGGGCCCGGGAAATTGCTATGCCCCGGGATATCGATATGATCCAGTGCCTTTATCGATTGCTGGCAGAACCAAAGTGGGGGATGGAGATTGACCAAGGATGAACGCATACAGAGGGACGGATGTTTGGGACGGTGAGGGTTGCTGGCTTGATGGTTTGTTGGTTGCCAACTGGTTTGGGCCGAAATCTGACCGCGATGAACATGATTTCCGGCTTCACTTTCACCACGAACACGGAGCCCTCGTTGGGTGTAGAATGGGGAATACCTTACCTGGGGTATCGAGAGAGCTGGTGTGAGTATCCGTTCAAGGAAAACATGATCGTCCGTCCACCCAGTTACGGAGTAGCCTGTGGGCAAACCGTTGGCTGATGAAGCAACCAAGCAGATATGAAATGTAACTAAATATACATTCTCTCCCGTTCGGCGCGTTCCTGTTGGGCGGAATTTGGCTTTTTGACGATTTGATGTGGTTGTGCGCGCTTCTTACCGCTGGCGATGCTCTGCTGCTTGCTGCGCGTGGGTGGATATCGAGTAGAAACACAGTAACAGTCCGTACAGACTCAAAGCTGCGTCAATCCCCGTGTATTTGCGTATATAGCCCTTCTCTTGATCCTCTCACTTGTGCTCCGTGCTCCATACCATGCCCATTCACGGCTGCCC